TCCCAAACTCCTGGCCTCAAGTGACACACCTGCTTCCGCCTCCCAAAGGAATTTGCAAAACTCTTTACTCAACCCTGCTATGTAACTGTTTACTACTCATTACATGAGTCATTTTGAATCTGAACCAAATCTATGAACATTAGTATGTTCTTCCAATCAAATCAGGACTTAATTATCCATTATTTATTCCACAAAAGCCTTGTAGAATCAGTGCTTTGTGCCAGGTGCTGTGCTCAGCACTGATGGGCCAAGGATAATGGACACTGCCCTTGGTCCTGAACTTGTGAGGTTGAGACACAGACACACACCTGTGGCCAGGTACTGACGTTTGCAGTCATATTAATGAGCACCACCCCCAATCTTTCTTTGCCCTCAGTTTCCACAGCTGGTCAATTCCTCCGGCACAGCAAAGGGCCATAACCTGGTAGAATATTTTGTGAACAGCTTCTCCAGAAAAAAAGTCCCTGTATCAATCACTCCTGCCTGTGTTGTGGCCTTCCTCCCAAAACCCAGTTTTTACTATGAAAACGACTACAATTGCACCTAAATTTTTCTGAGATAGTCTTACTCTCTCGGCCAGGCCGGAGTGCAGTGGCACGATTTCAGCTTGCTGCAACCACCGCCTCCTGGGTTCAAGCAAGTCTCCTGTCTCAGACTCCTGAGTAGCTGGGATTACAGGCACCCACCACCACATCTGGCTAGTTTTTGTATTTTAGTAGAGATGGGGTTTTGCCATGTTAGCCAGGCTGGTCTCGAACTCCTGGCTTCAACTGATCCACCTGCCTTGGCTTCCCAAAGTGCTGGGATTACAGGCATGAGCCACTGTGCCTGGCCTTAAAACACATTTTTAATTAAACTTAATTTTGAGATTGTAGTAGATTCATATGCACTTGGAAGGGATACTATGGAGGAACTGTGTACACGTTACCTGTGCCCCAGTGGTAGTATCTGTGTCCCCAGTGGTAGTGTCTTGTAAATCTTTAGTACAGATATCACATTAACATTGGTCAGTCTATCAATCTCATTCAGATTTCCTCAGTTGTACTTGTTTGTATGTGTGTGTGCATGTGTGTATTTAGTCCTCTGCAATTCCATCCACCACCACTCTCAAGATACAGAACAGTTCCAGTACCACAGGATCCCTGGTGCTGCCCTTTCATAATCCCTCCCACCTCCCTCCTGCAGCCACCCCCTCCCATTCCTAGTGCCTGGCACCCACTCATCTCTTCTCCTTTTCTATTCTTTTATCATTTCAATAATGCTATGTAAGTTGGGGCAGGGGCAGTGGCTCACACCTGTAATCCCAGCACTTTGGGCGGCCGAGGCAGGCAGATCACTTGAGGTCAGGAGTTTGAGACCAGCCTGGTCAACATGGTGAAACTCTGTCTCTCCTAAAAATGCAAAAATTAGCTGGGCATGTGGCAGGTCCCTGCAGTCCCAGCTACTTGGGAGGCTGAAGCAGGAGAATCAGGATGCGGAGGTTGCAGTGAGCTGAGATTGTGCCACTGCACCCCAGTCTGGGAGACAGAGCGAGACTTCATCTCAAAAAAAAAAAATGCTACGTAAGTGGAATCATACTGTATATGACCTTTTGGGATTGGTTTTTTTAGATGCAGTATAATTCCCTAGAGACTTATCCAATTGTTGCATATCAAATAGTCTGTTCCTTTTTATTGCTGAGTCATATTCCATGGTATGGATGTACCACAGGCGTTTAACCATTCACATATTGAAAGACATGGTGTTGCTACCAGGTTTTGGCAATTATGAATAAAGCTGCCGTGAACATTTGTGTATAGGTTTCTGTTTGAACATGTTTTCTTTCTGGGATAAATGCCCGAGAGTGCAATTGCTGGGTCAGATGGTATTCGCATGTTTTAGTTTTATAAAAAACTGTCAAACTGCTTTCCAGAGCGGCTGAACCATTTTACATTCCTACCAGCAATGTATGATTTATCTATTTTCTCCCCATCCTTTCCAGCAATATGTGTTATAACTTGTTTTTTATTGTAGCCATTTTGATAAGTGTGCAGCAACATCTCATTGTGGTTTTAATTTGCATTTCCCTAATGGCTAATAACACTGAACATTTTTTCATGGGTTTATTTCCCATTAGTATATTCTCTTCAGTGAAATGTCTGTTCCTGTGTCTTCCTCATTTTTTAATTGGATTGTTTATTTTTTATTTATTTTTTTATTTGAGACAGAGTCTCACTCTGTTTCCCAGGCTGGAGTGCAGTGCCACGATCTTGGCTCACTACAACCTCCGCCTCCCAGATTCAAGTGATTCTCCTGCCTCGGTCTCCTGAGTAGCTGAGATTACAGGCACCTCCCACCACGCCCAGCTAATTTTTTTGTATTTTTAGTAGGGACAGGATTTCATCACGTAGGCCAGTCTGGTTTTGAACTCCTGACCTCAAGTCATTTGCTCACCTTGGCCTCCCAAAGTGCTAGGATTGCAAACGTGAGTCACTGCACCTGGCTCTGGCCAAGGATTGTTTATTTTTTACTACAGAGTTTTGAGAATTCTTTATACACTCTAGGTACTCATCACTTGTTATATATTTGGTTTTCTAAATATTTTCTTCCCATTGGTATCTTGTCTTTTTATCCTCTTATCAGAGTGTTTTGAGAAGCAAAAGTGTTTCCTTTTGATGAGGTAAAATACATTTTTATACATCTTAATGTGGCCTCAAGCCTGTAGGTAAGGCATATGTTGAAGACTATCTCCCAGAACTCTTGAAGGCTGCCTGGACAATCTTCTCATTGCTCTTGAGAAACCAATAGTATGGAATTGTTGCATTTGCTAAAAAAAAAAAGGAATATTCAAAGGCAAGCTCCCTCGCCTGCAGAGTTTCAATTGAGTCTGTCTACTTTCCTGTTTTTAATCAAAATATTGCCAAATGGAAGTTTCGGGCTTCTGTGCCAGATAATTGCTAATACTAAACAAAAAAGAGCAGCGATTGCTTCTTTGCAGTCACATAGAACATGCTATGTTAGAAATTAAATGTAAATGTTAAAGAGTGTGGTCATTTTTAGTTGGCTATAAACCAGGTAGTTAGAATTAGAGAGTCGTATTTGCATCAGGCCGGAAAGCTGCTGAGCCACAACATCAGCATCTCCATCTATTTGTAGGCATACAGATTTGTAGAGCTGATCACCATGTGTTCACCTCAAGCTAGTAGAATACATTTTAAAAACCTGATTTATTCTTCATTTTGCTCTGTTCTTATATCCTTGGGGGGGAATCTTGTTGTACTTTTTGTCTTATGAATCTTTCCCCCAAAGGGAACACTTCTTTGCACTATTAAATCAAACTGGAATATGAAAAGAAATACATTTTCCATTCCTTCACAAGAGGCTTGCACTTTTGTCTTCAACATCGGGCTTTCCTTGTGTCTTCTTCTCCCCACTGCGATGACCGTCGGACTGAAACATCTAAGGAAGTGAGCTGCGTGAGGAGACCACTTCCTTCCCATGTCCTAGCACCATGCCAAGGACATGACGATCTTGGCATCTACAGCAAGGCTTTGGTAGGGGTGTGGGGGGTGTCTGCCTCACTGTGTAGATGGGCTGGCCCTTCTGGATGTCTTACTGATTTCTATATTCTCAGCACCAAGAGCAGAGGCTGCCACACCAAAGGTGCTCAGTAAATGACCAGAGAATTTACAAACGTCATTAACTACTTACTAGCTGAAAATTGGTAACATTCATCATTCAGCAAATTTTCATTATTTCCTATTACCCATTCCAACCCCTTAGGAACAGACACTAGTTTTTGCTTATGTCAGAGTCAATTTTTAAATCCCTAATGCCTAGAAAATAAGTAGACATTTAATAATGTTGATCTCGTTCATTCACTCATTCATTCAGCAAGCATTTATTGAATACTGTGTTAAGAACTGTTGGGAATATCTATACATACCTAGAAGGTACATTCCTTTCAGGTAACCTACATGCTAGTGTGTACATGGGGAAAACACAGAAATTATCACATGAAATATTTAAAGAATATAACGGATTATAACCTTTGTATTGAAATAACTAGTCTAGACCGCAATTAGTTGAGCAGTTCACAGGTCATCTGGTGTGGACCGACCACAGAAGGCTCTAGCTAGTGTCTGAGAGAACGCTAGAGTCCTCGGTGCCTCCACTACAATCCTCCGCTAACTCTCCCTCTATTTGTGCTGTCCAAAGTCCTTGCCTTCTCTTGAAATGCTGTCCTTTTCCTTGTTTTCTTTCTGCCCATACCCAGCATTGAATGTTGCATTAGACAGGATTCTTTGGGTTGCAGGAGTCAGAAACCTATCTCTAACATGTTTAAGCAAAAAGAGGAATCCATTGCTTCATATCAATGAAAAGGGGGTCTAGGCAAGACTGGTGTGGTGGATCGGCTGCCCAGAGGGCAGTCAGCAACTTCTTTCTATGCACACATCACTGCCTCCATCAACAAGTGGACCCTGTTTCTCCTCCTCTGGAGTTTAAGCTGGACTTTTGACTTGCCTTGACCAATAGAATATGATGGAACTGATACCCTGCCAGTTCTAGGCTAAGCCTTAGGAAATTTGGCAGCTTTTGTTTTTGCTATGTTAGAAGCCAGCCACCATGTAAAAAAGTCCAACTACCCTGATGGACAGAGGGGATCCCTGCAAGATGACAGAGTATAAAATAAAAAATTGATTTTAAAAAGTTTAAACAGGCCAGCTACAGTGGCTCATGCCTATAATCCCAGCTTTGGGAGGCTGAGGTGGGAAAGGCCAGGAGTTAAAATCAGCCTAGGCACACAGCAGGACCCAGTTGCTACAAAAAATAAATTAACCGGGCATGGCGATGCACCTGTAGTCCCAGCTACTCAGGAGAATGAGGTGGGAAGATCGCTTGAATCTGGGAGTTTGAGGCTGCTATGAGCTGTCATCATGCTGTCACACTCCAGCCCAGGTGACAGAGTAAGATCCTATCTCTAAAAAGAAAAAGCTAAAAAAAAAAAAAAAACTATAAACATATAAAAATAAAAACAGAGGCTTGGTCAGCCTACACCATTCCAGCCACCCTAAGTCTCATAGGTGCTGACATGTTTGTAGAAAAATCAGCTCAAACTATGTCTCTCCTCTGTTCTCACACCACAAAAACAATCAACACAGAAGACTTCTGTGACCAAATATGGGAGGGGGCGATTTCCACACACCAAGCAAGCAATCAGTTCTGGACCCCAGCTGGGTGTCCTCCAAGTCTATCTGGAGATAGCGTCAGCTCCCACAGATCTTGGCTGAGTCCCCAAGGCTGCCCTTCCCTCAGATGCCAGTCACAGCCAAGGCCTTCAGAACTTCTGACTGACCGGCTTCAAGCTGGGGTTCCCATGACCCCCTCCTTGGGTTCAATTAATTTGCTAGAACAACTCATAGAACTCAGGGAAACTTACATTTTACATTTTCTGGTTTAGTATACAGGATATCCGAAAGTATACAGATGAAGAGATGCAAGGGGTGAGGTAGGGGAAGGAGTGCAGGGCTTCTGTGTCCTCCCTGCATACCACACCCTTCACAGATGTCCAGCTATCCAGAAGCCCCCTGAACCCTGTCCTCTTGGGCCTTTTATGGAAACTTCACTGGATAGGCATGATTGACAACCACGTGGAAATGTGATTGGGCAAAAGGGTATATGATCTAATACTAAGAGACTGAGTGGCGAGACCCAGCAAGGCCTGTCTGTTCAGATTCTTCTTGGCTTCTCCGTGTAGCCTTTCTTCCTCCAGGGTATGGGGCAGGACCCTTTCTGAAATGAGCCTTATGTCCTACAGTCAGACAAGGTAGGTCCGAGAATTTCTTCATGGCCAGCTGCAAGGCAGAAAGGTGGGGGAAGATTCCTACCTTTGGGAGAGAAAAGAGCAGGTGGAATGAGGGCAGAAGAAGGCGTCTGAGGCTGGCCTCTGGGGTCTAAAGTGCCTGACATCATGACAAGAGACTATTACAGGGGCAGTGGTAATTATGAGCCAGGAACCATGGATGAAAACAAATATATATATGTATATTCATTCATATCACACATGTGATGAAGCCATCTTGGACACTTTAGCCCCACCCAGCACCACATAGAGCACAGAAAAGCCACCTCACTTCCCTTGGAGCCCTGCCCAGATTGCAGAGTTATGAGCTAATGAGAGGTAGTCATTATAAGCAAAACCTTTTTGTTTTGAGATGAAGTCTCGCTCTGTCACCCAGACTGGAGTGCAGTGACGTGATCTTGGCTCACCGCAACCTCTGCCTCCCAGGTTCAAGCAATTCTCCTGCCTCAGCTTCCCGAGTAGCTGGAATTATAGGTACCTGCCACCATGTCTTGCTAATTTTTGTATTTTCACTAGAGACAGGGTTTCACCATGTTGGCCACGCTGGTCTTAAACTCCTGACCTCAGGTGATCCGCCCTCCTCAGCCTCCCAAAGTGCTGAGATTACAGGGGTGAGCCACCACACCCAGCCAAGCCAAAGCATTTTAAGGTGGCTTGTCATAAAGCAATAGAGAATGGAAAATGCTGGAACTAGTGCTCTAAGGATTTAGTAAGAAGTCTTTCTCCGTTTCATGGCTCTGCTTTCCAGGGAGGCTGTCTGTGTATGGTGGAAGGATGTCCACTACAGCATCAGGCTTGCATTGTACCAACTGAGCAATGCCCACTGGAAAGGCATACGCTTTCCCAGCAGTTCCAGCAAAACTCTGGGGGTGACTCTGATTGGCTCTGATTAACTCACGTGCCTATCCCTGCGCAAGCCACAGTGACTCTTATTGGCCAAGGCTGGATGACCCGCCTCTCTCTGGATCCAAGGATGGGAATGGTCCGCCTTATGTAAACCATTTGGATTAAAAGTAGGAATAGGGTAGGTCCCAAAAGAAAACCGAGGTACCGTTTTCAGAATTAAAAGGTGGAATGCTGGGCAGGCTGAAACAACAAACATGCACCACAAAATTCAAGCGTAATCCTATCTCTTTTCGTAGGCCTTTCACCATCACTTTAAACTTTAAACCATTACAGCTCAACTGACCTGGGCTCTTCCTTGGTGCTTTTAGCATCGGCTGCCTTGTTGTGCTCCTTCCTCAATACTTTGCAAGTTAATTCTTATTTCACACCTTAGATGTGAACCTTTGTATTCCTTATTGTTCTGACTGCATTTGTTATTTTAACAGTGTTATATTTTCCATTACTTGCTGCAAGGATAAGCTCTTGGAGGTATCAGTGGCACAGAATTCTTACATTGATAGGAGGAATTTGCACCTGCGCTCTCCCTCTCTCTCTCTCCAGGGCTGACAAAATCCTAGGTATTGGCATTGCATCCAAAGGAGGGGATGTGGTCTATTTCCCCCTTGGGTTCTACCACCCAAAAGGAGAGCCAGATGGCGATCAGCACTGATTGTTTTCTTTCTGTTCTGGGGAGCTTGCTCTTGTGCTATTTAATTTGTATATTTTTAAAAAATAGTTTTGTATGAGTGCCCAGCAGAGCAGCTTTTGAACAACTAGCTTATGAAATAAATTTAAATGATCTAAAAAAGAACATCCTTTGTTAATTGAAATTTAAGTGAGCCTAATAAAGCTTTAATTTATCCTTCTCATTGAGGGTCAGCATTCCAGGTTGGAATTCTAAGAAACATCAAGACAGTAATAGAAATGGAAAGTAGATGCCTGTTGGCACTCCCACCCAAAGCCCAACCCTGGTTGGTCAGGGCTGAGTTTATTCACACATAAAGTGCCATTATGTTTATTTACTTGAGAAAGTACCCCCAACTGGTGATATGAATTTCAGAATTAAGGATATCACTGTATCTGTTCCTTTGAGGCTTTGTTACCTTTAAATTTTTAACTTATTCTGAAATATCATGTGTATGTATGAATGAATGTATATCCAGTGTAGCAACAGTCATTTGTTAAAGGGCATTATATATTGGCCAGGTGCGGTGGCTCACACCTGTAATACCAGCACTTTAGTAGGCTGAGGTGGGCGGATCACAAGGTCAAGGATCAGGACATCCTGGCCAACATGGTGAAACCTCATCTCTCCTAAAAATACAAAAAAAATCAGCTGGGCATGGTGGCACGCGCCTGTAGTCCCAGCTTCTTGGGAGGCTAAGGCAGGAGAATCACTTGAACCTGAGAAGCGGAGGTTGTAGTGAGACAAGATCTCGCCACTGCACTCTAACCTAGTGACAGAACAAGACTCCCATCTCAGAAAAAAAGCATTACGTATTTATAATTGTGTACCCCTTTTCTACTGAAGCCTTCTTCATCTCCCCACCAGAGATATTGTCCTGAAATTTGTGTTTATTATGCTCTTGCTTTTCTTAAACTTTACGGGAAGGCCAGACATGGTAGCTCACACTTGCAACCCCAGCACTTTGGGAGGCCAAGGTGGGTGGATCACTTGAGGCCAGGAGTTCAAGACCAGCCTGGCCAACATGGTGAAAACCCATCTCTACCAAAAAGATAAAAATTAGCCCTACATGGTGGTACACGTCTGTAATCCAGATACTCAGGAGGCTGAGGCATAAGAATCACTTTAACTTGGGAGCCAAAGGTTGCAGTGAGCTGTGATCATGCCACTGTACTGCAGCCTGGGTGAAAGAGTAAGACGCTATCTGAAAAACAAAAAAATCCCCAAACAAACAAAAACTTAAAATTTTTTTTTTTGAGACAAGTTCTTACCATATTGCCCAGGCTGGTCTAGAACTCCTCGGCTCAAGTGATCCTCCGTCCTCGGCTTCCTAAAGTGCTGGGATTATAGGTGTGAGCTACCACACAGGCCCTACATGAATCTTACTACAAGTAATATTTTGTGGCTTGCTTTTTTTGTTTCTCAGTATTATTTATGAAATTTGTCCATATTGACTTTTTTTAAAGCTGGAGTTCTGTCTGTGGCTTATGTTTTCACTTTATTATTTTCATAAGCAGAAGTTTAAATTTTTTAATGTCAAACCTTTGTGGTTTATGCTTTTTGTGAACTACTTTTTTTTTCTTGAGATGATAATATTCTTTCATTTCTTCTGACAATTTTAAGTTGTGTTTTTTTCTCCTTTAAGACTTCAATCTGTTGGGTTTATTTTTTTTAACTTTTGATTTTTTTAGAGACAGATCTCGCTCTGTTGCCCCGGCTGAATTCCTGGGCTCAAGTGATCCTCTTGCTTCAGCCTCCTGAACATCTGCAAGCCACCATGTCCAGCTAATTTTTTTCTTTCTTTTTCCTCTGTTATTGGTTTTTGTTTATGCTGTAAGGTAGTGATCAATTTTTTTTAATCCAAGTGAAAAGGTAGATCATGCCACTCCTTTGCTCAAAAATTTCCAAATCTTACCATATTCTTCAAAATTAAAGTTCTTACAATGGACTAAAAGTCCCTACATGATCTTGCCCTCTGAAATCTCTCTGACCTCATCTCCTTCCAGTGAACACTGGTCTCCTTGCTCTTCCTTGAACACTCCCAAAATGTTCAGGGTCCTTGACTTCCTGTTTGTCTGTTGGAACTTTTCAGATGTCTATACTTCTGGCTTCCTCACTTCCCAAGTCTCTGCTCAAAGGTCACCTTATCAAAAATCTCCCTCCGACACACACACACCCCTCAATGTTTGGTATTTCTCTTCTTTCAAAGAACTTACCTGGAAAATCTCTCTGGGCCTATTATAGTTGTGTGTTAGGGTAGTGGCAGGGAGGTATTTTTAAAGTGTTGATTTAATTTTTTGAATGGCTTACGGACTACATGGGACTTTCAATTTCTTCTTAAGTTAGTTTTAATCCTGTCTCTACAAAATATTTCTTTAAACTAGCCAGGCATAGTGGTGCACACCTGTAGTTCCAGTTACTTGGGAAACTGAAGTGGGAGAATCCCTTGAGCCCAAGAATTTGAGGCTGCAATGAGCTATGATTGTGCCACTGCACCCCAGCCTGAGCTACAGATACCCTATCTCTCAAAAACAATTTTTTTTTAAATTTACTTTTTGAATAGTTAATATATGTCTACAATAAAAACATTCAAGTTTCAAAAGTATACACAATGAAAAAATAGATCTCTCTCCTATCTTTGCCTTCTAGGTACCTGATTCCCCTCTCTTGGTATCAATTTCTTGTCTATTTCCCTAGTTTCTTGTTTATCCTTCCAGAAATATATCATGTATATATAACATGTATTGTTTTTACATAAATGGTGGAATGCCATATATATTATCCTGCACATTGCCTTTCCACTTAACCCTGTATGTTAGATATGTTTCCAAAGCTATTCATAGAAGCCTGCCTCATTTCTATTCCAGTTAACGAATATTCTATTGGATGATGTGCCATCATTTATTAGTCTCCTTCTGAAGGATGATTAGGCTGTTCTGTCTTTACAGCAGCCTTCTAACCAGTGTGTTTTGCCCATCTTTCATCGCTGCTTCACCCTGCTGTCAGATACACCTTCTCTCTAAACTTCCATTCTCATGCTATCATTTTCCTATTCAGGAATCTCCAGCAGCTGCCCAGTTCCCACAGAATAAGGCTGAACTTCTTACCCTTGGACAAATATCCTCCATGGTCTCCACCTTCTTTTCCATCACGTCTTCCTGTTCCTGAAGACACTCCCCAAAACTGATAACTTGAGGTTTTCCCAAGTGTACCTCTGATTTTTGGGGCTCCAAAATTTTCTTCAGCCTGCTCTACTCTTCCCATCGAACACCATGAGGGGCGGAGCAAATCCTTCCCTCCCTCTGGGCTGGTCACATTGGGCTATAGGTCCTCTCTGGAACAGCTGCACTTTAAATATTTCAGCCCAGTCTCCCACTGTACACCCTACAGAGCCAGACCAGGTGTTCTGAATTTTGTTTGGGGTTACTGTTATTTAAATTGTTCACCAATCGGTCCTTCTTCTTCTAGACTCCAAATTCCTTGTGGGCAGGGACTGATCACTGAGAATGGGGAATACTAAAATTAAAAGATATCCTGACTTTCAAGTAGCTTAAAACCTAAAGGTAGGCAAGACATGCAAAATTAAAATACACATTAGGATCTTAGTTTAAGTAGGCTGTAAGCTCAGGGGAATCATGGTGGGGGGGAGTTTTTTTTTTTTTTAATCTCTGGTCTGTAGTCCAGGGTCTGGTACATGGCAGCTGCCCAATAATTGCCTGTTGAATGAAGAATAACATAAAAAGATGCATTTAAGGCAAGTGTCAACTTCTTGCAATAAAAGCCATCTTTTGTATACAGAATAAGTCAACAGATAGTGTAGAGTGTGGATGTCGCTCATTCTGGGGGTAGAAAGAGGGCTGTTGTGGGAGGGGACGGACCGAGTTTCAGCCAGGGACGCAGGCGAAGACACTGCTCTCCGAGTTGGTGGGGGGCGGTGGGTGGGGGTCCCGGCGGCTGCCGGGCGCGGGGGAGGCGGGGAGAAGACGGGAAGGAGGAGGAGACTCTCGCCTCCTGCCCCGCCTCCCCCACCCCGCGGCGGCGGCGCAGGGCGGCCGCGCGGGTGTCGGCACCAGTGGCAACAGCTGCAGCAGCCGCGCCGCCCCCTCGCCCGCGGCTCACGGGGTGAGCCCGAGCACGGCCGGCGGCTCGTGGCGCTGCGGCCCGGGAAGACAGGAAAGTTCCCGGCCCGAGCGCGGAGATGCCGGGCAGCGACACGGCGCTCACAGTGGACCGGACCTACTCGGACCCCGGCCGGCACCACCGCTGCAAGAGCCGGGTGAGCGCAGCGGGCTGGGGGCGGCGGGGGCGCGCGGGCCCGGGGGCGAGGCGGGCCGGGGCGGTGGCTCCGCGCTAACCCACGCGCCCTCCGCTTTTCGCCGCCGGCCTCCGTTGCCGCCGGAGGTCCTTGCCTCTCCGATCGTCCAAGCTGAAAGGGCTGGGCGGGGGGTCGGCGTCGGAGCCTGGGCTGCGGTTCCGGGACCCAGGGTCCGCCTGCTCGCCCGCGGCACCCAGATCCCCGCGCGCGGTGCGGGACGCCGGGTTCCCCGACGGCCCGCGCTCCGCCGCCCTCCCCGCCAGGGAGCGCCCGCGGCGCGGCGCCCGTAGGCTAGGGAATCCCGCCACCCGCGGCCGCGCGCCTCCAGGTCTCGGGGGTCTCGCCCGCCCCAGGCGTGACGGCGCCCTCCCCACCGAAGGTCCCGGCGCCTGCCGCGTCTCCCGGCCCTCGGGGCGTGTGGCCGGAGCCCGAGCGCAATGCGCAGCCGGAGCGCGGGGAGGCGGCGGACCGGCTCTGCCCAAGTGAAAAGTCAGTGTTTGCGCTGCCTCTCCTGAGTTTCGAGCCCAGCCGAGCAGGCGCCCTCGCCATTGTTTGCAGTGTAATTTGCTGTTGCTGATTTTGGCTGCGAGCGAAAATAGCTCATTCTGAGCTTGCTGCAGAGACGAGCCCTGTAGGGCTTCAAAATAAAGACGGAGGCCGCAGCCCGAGCGCGGGTCTCTCCTGGGAGAGGAAGCCTCCGCCCTCCCCGGGGAATACCTTTGCCCTCCCGGGCTGTGGAATCGTCGAGGCTGGAAGTGAGGCTCTGTAACCCGTTCTCCTCACGGCTGATTGAAGTGCCATTTTACACAGCACCTCCTCCACGCTGGCATCTGTTCTGGCAGGAGGCACCTGGAGTTGTTCTTTGCTCCGCCAACTACTTACTCGCTTGTCCGAGAAGTGGGGATTTGGGTGTCGGCCTCTGTGTAAAGTTCGCGGAGGTAGAGCCGGGCTCAGGTTCTGGCCTGCCACCTCCGAGATCGAGAGACCAACTGGATGGAAATAGTAGCAGTAGTGACGGGGTTGTGTCTCGGCCCTTTGTGCAAGATTTGGGTCTTCACTCGTGTTTTGAAGTAGCAATCCATAGCCCCAGAAGTGAAGCAATGAGTCCCTGGTTTATTTGCCCACTTTCCCTCTTTCCTTTAGCATCTGTTAATCGTTTTGGAAGAATGATTGGAGTTTTTACAGATTGAATATATCTCGTGGGATAATACCTCCTGCACCCATCTCAACCTCCCAATTCTCTTATATTTGCACTTTCTTTAAAAGTTTCGTAACAGTTTGCCAAGCAAATAACCAGAAACTCCATTTGGAATAAACATTGAAGATCTGTGCTTACCCACAGGTAGACGTTTCTTCTTGGATAAACTGTAATGCTAGTTAACAGAACTATGAAGAAAAGGAGATAATTTTCGAATGCATTTGTAATTGGGAGGATTCTGTAAAATTACTGTTGCAGACTTGAAAACATGTGGAAGCTTGGTTTTTCTTGTCACAACTGTGATCATCTTTGTGTAAACAACAAGATTAGTAATCTTGGCGGGATGGGTGGCTCATTGTCAGTTCATTTAAGTGGTTTGGCAAAACTCATGCAACTTTACAGAACTTTCTCTTCATAACCTGTAAAATGGTGGTGACGAAGTTTGTGCCTCAGTTGCTTAGGTGAAATGTGGTAAACCAAATATGTAACGCAACCGCAGGCTGTGTTTTCGCCCCATCTGCCACTGTTCCCTTTGCGCCAGTCTTTTCTGTTAAAAGGTCACAACCTTCTGTGAAGGAGATTTCTTGATTTTATTTAAAATTCTACTGATGGGCCTGGCGCGGTGGCTCACGCCTGTAATCCCAGCACTTTGGGTGGCCGAGGCGGGTGGATCACAAGGTGAGGAGTTCAAGACCAGCCTGGCCAAGATGGTGAAACCCCGTCTCTACTAAAAATACAAAAATTAGCTGGGCATGGTGGCATGCACCTGTAATCCCAGCTACCCGGGAGCTTGAGGCAGAGAATTTGCTTGGACCCGGGAGGCAGAGGTTGCCATGAGCGGAGATCGCACCACTGCACTCCAGCCTGGGCAACAGAGCGACATTCTGCCTCAAAAAAAAAGTTATAATAAATAAATTAAAATTATACTGACGATGTTATACCTGCTGCCTTGTTTTGTTAGCATGGAGATTTTTAAATAAGTTGTGTATTAAAACTGAGTTAGACATTAGATGTGCTGATTATCCTAAATTAGCACGATCAGATCTAGTGAAGAGAAGAAATCAGAGGAGGGCTAGAACTTTAGCAGACAATAATCACAGATTCTACTGCAGTGATGCTGGACTTTTTGAGGTCTCAGTTAAAGCTTCCCAACTATGTGCTTTTAGGTTTTTTATTGTTGAGACAGGGAGGGATAGGCAGAACTAGTGAAATTTTTGTAAACTCCTAAGAACTTTTCTCAAGCAAGGTTGATGTAATTTCAAGTCTATCCTGAGGCTACTAATGAAGGGAAAGCAACAATCATCCCCTTAAATGATGGTAGCTCCTGGATTGTGGAACTCACTTAGATACAGCTGTAAGGATATGTTTTCCTGACACCCAGAAAGTATGTGATGCAAGCGGAAAACATTAGGTGGTAATTTCTTGACGTCACCATTTCCTTGGGATGAAACTAGTATAGGATTTAAAAAGAACCCTTTTATGAACTCATTTGGTAAATTAGCTTTCCTAAAAATGCTAATGAGAACGGGGGGTTATGTGAAGAATTGATTAATCTTTCTTGGAGTTTCTGCCCAGGAATGGGCTAAGACTCCCTGAGATTGAGTTCTTAGTTACTGAATGGTCATTTTTTAAAAATTCAAAATCAATACCTGTTGAGATAACAGGGAAAATACATGGTCTCTCTTGCTGGGCTTATTTCAGCCTTTGAGACTGGAATAATAACGACGCAATATACTCTTGTAAACATTGCAGAAATCTATTTTTACAGCCGGGTGGACTAACCTAGATTCCCCCCACCCCACCTCAGTGAAAATGTAGTTAATGAATTCTGTGACTGTTGCTAAGCTGACAAGACAGGATCATTCACATTTTAAAACATCATCTTTGTAAAACTCAGAAATGGTGCTTGTTAACTTAATGCACATCTCTCTCTACTTTAAAAGAAAGAGCATCCATAATTAGACTCCTACTTTTTTTTCATGCCCTAGATAGTTAAAGCCTATCATCTTTTTGAGAATACAGGCTGTCTGCTTTCTATACAGTAACTGGCTTTTATTAATTATGTGTGAATTAGTTTTTCTTTTCGTTGGTTTTCATTTTAAATGTTCTAAAATGCCCTCTCCAGCCCTTGGGTATAGTGGTGAACAGCTGGAGCTCTGGACCTACGTGGGTTGTATTCTGGCTCTTCGAGCTTCTTAACTGGGCAGCTACTGGGGCAGGGTCCTAAATAGCCTTTCTGAGCCTCCAGTTTCCTATCCATAAAAGGGTAATACTCCACTCTTTTCGGAGTGATTGTGTGTCTTAAATAAGAAAGTATTTGTAAAACAAAACAAAACACAAAAGAACGGTGTGTGCGCTCAGATATTAGCTATTTAAAAATTTTTTTAAAGGATTTGTTTTCTCATTGGGTGAAAAAGCTATGTTTGTCTATATGTCAGGTTAATAATTTCTATTTTGGTGGTGCCACCACTAATCAGAATTGCTAGTTGTCTTGAGTGCCTGCCCTCCTCCATCTCTCTAAACTATGCTAGCAATACCATTGAACCTTTCTCTGACATTTCTCTGGAATTGGTTTCTTCCATCTCTCAGTCATCCCCCACCCCCCTCAGTCACTTGTGACCTTCACCAACTTCTGTTCCATCCTGCATGCAAGGACCATATTATTTTCCCTACAGAACCACTTGCATTAGGCTAGTCCCCAGAATACAGATCTTGTACCAGTGCTATTTGCTACCAGTGCAGTCTTGGAGCCTGTAAGCCTTAGTTTCCACTTCTACATAATAGGGGTGTTTTGAGGAATAAATTCAGTAATATCTATAAAATGATTAATTCCATGCCAGGTGCACAATAAGAAATCAGTAGATGGTAGCCACTTTGATTACAGGCTGAGCATCTCAATCCAAAAATCCAAAATCCAAAATGCTCCAAAATCTAAAACTTTTTGAGTGGCCACGTGATGCTCAAAGGAAATGCTTACAGGAGCATTTCTGATTTCAGATATTTCTATTTGGAATGCTCAACCAGTAAGTATAATACAAATATTCCTAGGTGGGGCACGGTGGCTCACTCCTGTAATCCCAGCACTTTGGGAGGCCACGGTGGGTAGATTACTTGAGATCAGGAGTTCTAGACCAGCCTGGTCCACATGGTGAAAAATACAAAATAATTAGCTGGGCATGGTGCCAGGTGCCTGTAATCCCAGCTACTAGAGAGACTGAGGCAGGAGAATCACTTGAACCTTGGAGTCATAGGGTGCAGTGAGTTGAGATCGTGCTATTGCACTCCAGCCTGGGCAACAGAGCGAGACTCTATCTCCAAAACAAAACAAAATTCCAAAATCTAAAGTCTGAAACACTTCTGGTTCCAAGCATTTTGAATGGGGGTACTCAACCTGTACTATATGAAAGAAAGGTTTGTGAGCTTGGAAATGGACAGGCTGCTAATTTTTTGAGAAGTATAGACTTTTCTAGCATTGCTAGCATTTTGTGCGTCCTTGCATCATGTTTCTCATCACATTGACTCTTTATATGTTTATTGCTTACATGTATTCGTAAGCTGTACACTGGCACTTTGAGAGCAAGATACTTCATTTATTCAAAAAATACTTACTAAGCCGCTTCTATGTGCTGGCTGCTAATTCAGGCATTAGGAATACAATGATAAATGAAACAGTCTGGTCACTCTGGAAGCTTGGTATCTGGTGGGTGAATCTCATGTATGCTTGTGACTTCAGACAATACCCCTCTCTTACACAGGAGGAAATGACGATAACACATGCAGAAATCTCTAACATCTGAAGTAAAACTTGTGTCGAGCATGAGTGCCACCTCTAGTATATCTTCAAGTATTCTGTGGTTTGGAAATCCATCTACAATTACGTGATGAGTAATGACCAAAGTCAGTGAAGAAGAGTTTGCGGTAGCCTTTGTCACAGTGGAACTGGTTGGGCAGTGATGTAATAAGCTGATGATTACATGCTTACTCCCTGGGCAGGAAGTAGGGGGAGTAGAAACAGACCTCTGTCCTAGAGGACACTGACCCAGGGAAGTGGTGAGCTGAGTAGTACATGGATATCATTTTAAATTAGTGATTCGTTTTATTCTAAAGAGCTCGTTAGAGAGACTGAATAAAGGTGAGTGTCTCAAGCCAGGTTTTTCTTACATTTAGGATGAGCAAAGTGATGTGTTGTGTGTTTCTTGAGCTGCGCTTTGCTGCAGGCTCACCAGTTCTCCCTTTAGAAAAGAACGATTTGCCAGCCACCACCAGCGCACCCTCCTGTCACATCCGCTGTAGAGAGCACCAAGACAGCTGCTACCAAGTTGGATCGCCGGATGAGTTTGTGTTTCAGACCCTCTGCCTGAATTTCCAGGGCTGCTGCTAAGGTCAGAAATCAACCTAGTCCTACTTGGAAAATGCCCACAGCTAGACTTAGAATAGTCTTCAGCTTTCAGCCCTGCTGTTTCTTAATTGTGTTTTCATGTTTTCAGTGGAGGGGTGGCAAGAGAAAAGGAAGAGAACCATGAATCACTGTACTGTGAATCAGAATGAGGACTCTTCATTCCTTCGAAAAGGAACATCAGGATATATGATTTGTATATAAGCCAACTGCTTCCATTGACTTGGGAGGAGTGCTGCCTGAAAGAAACCATAGTATATTTGTGGATTATTCCTCTTTAAGGAGGCAAAAAGAACGTAAGTGAAAAGATGAATGCAGTCACAATAATAGTTAATGTGTACTGAGTGCCTACTCCACACCAGGCAATATCAAGCACTTCAAA